TGTCATCTCGTGCAAATACCGTTCCTCCGGCGTCCCCACAACCCCGTTCTCCCTCTCAGCTTCCCCCGAGCCCCCTTCCCAGGTCCGTGTCAGGTGAGGCTTATTATTAATTTTTTTTTTCCGGGGAGGAGGGAGGCTTTACATTGTGGCTTTGTCCCCCACCCGTTCCGCCGCTCCTTCCTCCGCCTGCCGATTCTCACCAGCGTTCCTCAGCTTCTTGTTCCTGTACACGGACAGGATGACCAGCAAGTTGCCCAGGATATCTACCACGATGGTGAAGATGAGCACGGCGGCCAAGGTGGTGGCCACCCAAGCGGGGCGGTCCAAGGTGAGCTGGTCCTGCGGCTCCGAGCCGTTGCGCGGCCCACTCCCGTTGGCCCGCATGGTGGGGGTGGTGCTGGTGCCGCCGCCGCCGGAGGAGCGCTTACTTTGCTGCCATCCCGGGGCAAAGTTGGGTGAGGGAGTGTGCCAGCGGCCAAGCCGCCCGGAGCGTCGACTTCGCGCGCAAAAAACGAGCGCGGCGGCGGAGTCCGGACTGCCGGGGAAGCTTTGCCCGCGCGCCCCGGGCTCGGCAGCGATGCCCACGGACTGACTGCTCCTGTGACTGCTGACGCCGGTCCCCTCCGTGCACCCTCGGCTATCGACGAGCGCTCTCCGTCCCCCCCTTGCCCGGACCGGGAAGTTTTCGCCTAAGTGTGCATGTGCCAGGGCGAGTTACTTTTATAGCATGCCCCCCCTCCGCCTCTTCCTCCTCCTTTGCTCTCCTCGCCGCCCGCCCGCCCCGCTGCTACAGCTGCCGCCGCCATTCACATAAAGCCACCCCACTCCCCAAACAGCAGCACCCCCCTCCCCCCCCCACAGCCGCCACTGTTGCCTCCAGGTGACATCTAGCGTCGGCGCCTGGCCTCCCCCTCCCCGGACACGTGCGCGGCGAGGGGATTCCAGCTGCCGCCGTGATGGCCGGCATAGCAACAGCGCCGCCACCAGGCCTTGGCCGGAACCAGAGCCTCCATTCACCCCCGGAGTTGTAAGCGTGAGCGCGTGTCTGCCTCTCGCGCGAGCCCCATTCATTTTTTTTCCACGCTTTTTCTCCCCATTCACTTGGCCGTTCATTCATTCTTTCGTTCATTGAAAAAAAAAAGAAGCGAAAAAGGCGGCCAGGTTCATTCACGGATTTGGCGACGGCAGGTTGTCGAGCAACCGTATTCTAGCCCTTTTCTCATTACTTGCCTGGTGGAAGCCGCGATAGTTATTATTTCTTTACTTTTCTTTTTTTTTTTAAATGAAAAGTAACTTCCCATTCCGATCTGTTCGTTAGCGTTATGCGGAACCGGGAAAAGAAGAGAACGCAAGCAAACGAAAGGGGAAGAGAGAAGAGAGCCGGTCTGTTTGCTTTTAATCATGCTTAACAAGAGGATGACTTCTAAATACTGTAAACTCTAGACGGAGCTTTGATTGGAACAAGGGCTGGTTGGAATCAGAGCAAGAAGGATCTCATCTTGCTTCTGATCAGAAAGTGGGCTATAAAAAGATTCTCGCATACTTATTTGCTCAGCGTTGGGGGGGGGCTAAGGCACCTCAGGACCCGAATTCCCCCAGTGCGGCACGTGCAGCTGCCTCACAGACGAGGGGAGGGGCAGGAGGGGGAGAGAGAGAGAGGAGGACAGCAAGAAAGATGCCACGAAAAGACTGTCTAGTTTTTGCAAACGTTATTTTTGGCATGGGGAAAAAAAAAGTAAACTCAGAGTCTCCCCGTCCCCGGTTATTTTCCCTAATGGTGATGAAATCGTTATTAGAACACACTTGGGTTGTTCCATCTCTGTTCTGCAAATTCGCATCTCCCACCAGAGAAGGACATCTCTTTGATCCAACCTGGTGGCAGAGGGTCTGTCTGGTAAACACATAAAGCAGCTGCTGGAGACGGGGGGAACTGAGGAGGGGTCCCGCACAGAAGACCTGTCGGAGATGGAGCAGGGGTGATCTTGTGCATGGGATTGGCTTGCTCTCAGTTAGTTGATACTTTTCTTTGGCTTCCTATAATGATTGGCATAGGGGCTATCAACATTAGAATAGCATAGAGAGAAACATTTTCCCCTGCTGAAGGGGAATGCCAGCTGTGATTTTTCAAAAGTGTGTGTTGTTAAATGTTGCAACATTTCACATGGAAAACCTATTTACCTTGTTCAAATACTCTTTGTTCAAATAGCTGATATGTAATAGGCAGTGAAGTTAGTTTCTCTCTCTCTCTAACACACACACACAAACACACATACACACACCCCATTTGAGATTTGTCTTAGAAAAATATAAAAACGGGTCTTAAACCTCCCAAGTTGTACAACAGTGGTTGAAAGAGGAGAGTATTCGTTCATTTAAACCAATTTAGGAAAAAAAATCTCTGCTATTTTTCAAATGATATAAAATGCTCTGGATTGAGCAGTGAGGTCCCTGCCACTTTTGTGATTATATCATTTTGAAGCTCTTGAGCCTAAAGAATTAAAACTATCATTTTTATTATAAAAGAGGGAAGGAAATTAGATAATTATGAACTGAAGATAGATTTAACAAGCTGCAGAGCAAACAAACAGAAAACCCAGGAAGTGACTGACATTAAAAGAAGAAAGGTCTAAGAAGATGCAGAAGCTTCGTATTTGTTATAGCATTGGCACACCATTCCTTCAAAAAAAGAGAGACAGAGCTGGGCTAAAAATAGCATCCAGTGTTCCAACACGTGCCCTATGCTAGAAGGAAAGTTTTCTATTATTTGTATTCATCACAGATTCATAGGAATGTAGGACCAGAAAGAAATTGAAGGGTTTCTAGTGTATCACTGCACTGAGATGGAATTATCTGTGAGATGAGTACATCACTTTGATAAAGGACAGCTATTTTAAAACAACCTTTTCACAATTAAAACAGAGAAAGAAACTTTCAGTCATGTGCCTATTTATTTGGATTGATCCAGGGCTGAAAGCTTTTTTTCCCCTTCAAAATTATGATATTCTCAAGAACCACATCATATGCTACATGAAAAACGTGTCTCTAGACCTCAGAACAAATGATTGCTATGCAAGGTCTCTAACTGAAGCCCCTCCATTGAGATGTGACCACTAGGGGGAGATTAATAGACATGTGCACCACTATTAGAAATGCTACAAAATAGCAGTATTGGCTACAGTGAGCAAAACCAACCTAATCCATGAAGTTAGGTTGAATCTAATATTCCAAAGACAGTAGAAGAGCTTTTGATTTACACAGAACTCCTTCCTCTGGCTCAGCATTCAAGGAAAATAGTCCTGAAGGAGCGGATAGCTGTATTAGTATGTATGAGCAAAACCAATAGCCATGTGGTGCCATAAAAGCTAATGGGTTTCATTAGGTACATCTGATGGGGTGGTAAAAAGTCCATAAAAACCTATGTCAAATAAAACTTGTTAGTTTTTAGGGTGTCACTATACTCTCTTTTTAATTAATTATTGGAGGGTGCAGCCATCTAACATAGTACCACCACCTCCCCAGCATGGAGGGGGAGCAGTGCAATCCGTAGAAATTGGGGGTCATTCAAGATGCACATCAGCTGTCAAAAGTGGCACATTCATCATTCATTGTAGGCATCCTTTAGTCTTGAGAGACTGGTAACATGCTTTGTATGGAGGAAGTGGAACAGCATCTAGTGTGGCTGAGAAGGCCAATTTGAGAGTGACAATCCCTTCCACACTGAACCGGTAACTGCTACTTCCCGTGTTGTTTCAATGCTGTATGCAAAGCTGGAGTGTCCTCTTCAGAGCACGAAGCCTGGGTAAAATAATATGGAGGATAGGCTGTTACCCACGGAGCAAATTGCCCCTCCACGTCACTGAAATAATCCAATGGAAAGGCAAAAGTCAATACAACTGGTTCCAGCAATGTTGCAGAAGTTGCCAGAATGACACAAACTGCCTCTGGGACTCCGGCTCCGGATTTTGCCTCGAGGTTAACTCCTGAAGCCTTTTTATCAGTGGCTATAGCCACAAGGCAGTGAAGGTTTGAAATCTGAGTTTTCCTTCTCCTAGATGGGCTGCCTTCCAAGGCTGATGAGCCCCACCTACCCAGCAAGGTGGCACAATAGAAATAGTAAAGGGGTTAGCTATTCATAATGGGGCAAAAATATTATGAGGGAAGGGAAGAGTGGAAATGTTAATGTTATTTGAGCTTTAATTGTTAGAATCCCACAACCAAAATGGTGGTCCAAAAAGGTAACTTCTTCAAGCAGGGATATCAGAAAGACTAGATTTCAGGACTGATGTTACCATTCTACCTGAGCTGCGGTGTCTTTGGAGTCCTTTGGGTATCTTTGAAGAAAAGAACGGCATTTAAATAAAAACACTAATAACTTTAAGATTGAGTGTGTTGGCAGTCTTTCCCTTTCTGCCCTGCCCCTTGCCATCTTAAATAACATTGTTTTTATGTGTGGGCTAGCCTACTAAAGATTTTACTGTATCATGGAATATGGACTCAGGGCTTTATTTATTAGTCAACGTGTTTGCCTCTGTGTTTTTCATAAGTTGAAGGCACTCATGTTGTTGTATGCTATAGAGGAAGATGAAACAGTTGTACTGGGAAGTAGGATGAGTTCCCAGCTTCAGGTATGGTTTGGGAGTAGGGACTGTAACGGCCTCCTTCTACCTCACCAAGGAAGGTTGCTACGTCACTCCACTGTTACTCTTCTGGTAGTCTGCCACCATCCATCCCCTGCAATAAGTATCTTCAGGCCGGAATGGATTTCAAACAAAATAACTAAAGTTTATTGATTGGTACATTAAGATTCGTATAACAAATAAATCAGGTAATCACATAAAGAAAGGCTCTAGCTCACACAGACTCATATCTCCACACAATCTGATCACTATCTCATCTCAACACTCACAGATCCTGATCTGCCCCTCACACACATTCACACCCCTATATATCCCAGCTCCTCCCCCTGATGTCCCGCCTTCCGACCACCATTGGATGTTAACACTCCAGCCTAAACCTTGAAGGACAGGTGACATCATAGCTGTTTGTAACAGGGACTATACCCCCTGTTCCGAGAATGGGTCCCCTACTTCTACCTACCACAACTGCCACTGTGTGGATTCAGGGAGAGGCACTGGTCACTTCTTTGCTGTGGCAAAGCTGCCTGTGTTTACTATTAGAAGCAATTATCTGAATGGCACGTCTCTTTCAGAATGACAGAACTAGATCCTAAACAACTAGAGATGAAAACAGTTTGCCATGTTCTAGGAAGATCATTTTGTGTTCTGTGCCCAGAATCTTCCTGTTCACATAAGGCTTATGTAACTTGCTATGGCTAATTGCAGCAAATTGCTGTGATGCCAAGGCACTTCTCAATTGCACGTCAATTGGTTGTTTACCAGAAATGTACCTGGCACCGTGTCTATTAGCTACAATTAGCTGTGGCAAATTATGCAAACCACAGCAAATGCCAGTAGAACTCTTAACTTGTGCCCTCCTGCCATGTCTAACCTGCAGGAGAAGACTTGCAAATAAAGACAACACATTCTGGCTAGTAAAACTTTTCCTTTATTTTCTCCAAATTAACCATATCTAATACAGAGACAGGAAAAGTTTTTTTAAAAAAGAAAAAGAAAAAGAAAAACTGCTGCTGCCAAAATATTCTAAAATTGAGAAGAACTTTAGCTCAGTGATGCAGCATCCACTTTGTTGGCAGAAGTCCAGGGTTCAGTCACTGATCTCTCCAAGTGAAGACAGGTAAGTGTGTCATATTAAAAGCTTCCTTTCCCCCTCCTCAACATCCCAAATCTCCCAGAGGCTTCCCCAGGACACAAGGGAGCCCCAGAACCCTGAAGGGGAAAGTATTCAATCCAATGGCAGGCTGAGGATGTCATTCTATTTGCACGGCATAAAGGTACCCCAATAGGATTTCAGCCACTGTTGAGAAGACTAAGCTAGGCCAATGGCAAATACTGAACCAGATGGGGTAGTATGCAGCAACTTCCTGTGTTCCCTATGCTCCAGCCAACGTAGTAGGTGGGGAATCTGGGTGTTGTAGTTTAGTTCAAAAGTAGAATCTGAGTGTTGTAGTTTAGTTCAAACTTCCCATCACTGATATAATGTAATCTTACTTTGTAGAGAATATTGGGAGCAAAAGGAGGGGGGGGGGAATAAGACTGGAAGTCAAGGACTGCAGTTCTCTTCATGTATATATCCTTTGTCCCACAATAACACATGAAATAGAATAGGAAAATGGAGATGAGTAATGTGCAGTCTCAGGGTCACATGTTCCCCCAGGGACAAAAAAAGCCTCCCAACAGCCGTTTGACTCCATAAAACTCAATCAATTTTTTTAGAAATGAGGGTTTTTTTTCTTTTTATCGAGGGAGGATCAAAATGTCTCCTTGTTCCCTCTAGTGGGCATGGGAGTAATTTTTTCATGTTCTTTGTTTATTTTTTTAAATTTTCCAACAGATTTTAAAACATAGATATAGAGCACAATGGACATTTAAACAGTAAACATAAAGTGTAAGAATCTCTAATGGTTGAACAATAAACAAAGATAATCTAAATGCACAAAAGAGGGGGGAAAGCCTAAGGGTTAACATAGAAGAAATCTTGTATATTGGAATAATTATTCTGATGAGATCCTATTCATGACATCCCACTTTTTATTTATTTTCTGTTCCTTTACTGCGGGATTTTACTTTCCACCAATTATAAAATAAATTCCAGCTTAAATAAAAATATGATTCTTCTTGTCCCTTTAGCCTCTTAGTTAATCTATCCATTTCTGCTCTTTCTAATATTTTTTTTAATTATATCATCATTTGGCGGATTTTCATTTTTCCAAACTTGTGCCCATAATAACCGAACTGCTGTCAAAACAGACTTTAGGTCCAATACAGAAGAAATCTGCTCCCTTGAAGTCTGCTACAGGCATGATCATCCAGGACCGAGCACAGCAGATGGAACACTGGGTGCAGCACTACTCTGAGCTGTATTCCAGAGAGAATGTAGTAATCAAAGAGTCATTAAATAACATTGAGTGCCTGCCTGTCTTAGAAAAGTTGGACAGCGAACCAACTTTAGCAGAAATAAAAGTGGCCTTGGATTCCCTCTCCTCCGGCAAGGCACCTGGGAAGGATAACATCCCTGTTGAAGTGCTGTAAAGAGATCATCACCACCAAGCTGTATTAAGTCTTTTGTCTTTGCTGGAGGGAAGGTGGAGTACAACAGGACATGAAGTATGCAAACATCATCACATTGTATAAGAAGAAAGCAGACAGGGGCGACTCCAATAACTACTGTTGCATCTCTCTTTTCACCGTTGTAGGGAAGCTTCTTGCCCGTGTTGTGCTGAAGAGACTCCAGGTACAGTATTTGCAGACAGAGTCTATCCAGAATTGCAGTGTGGATTTCGAGCTAATAGATCCACCACTGACATGGTATTCTCCCTCAGACAGTTGCAGGAGAAATGTAGGGAATAACAACAGCCACTCTTTGTGGCCTTCATGGATCTCACAAAGGCCTTTGATTTTCTTAGCAGGGATAGCCTTTTTAAAATCCTTCCCAAAATGAAGGGCACTGTAGTTTTTGATGGCTCAACATCAGATCCCTTTGACATTTGAAGCGGAGTGAAACAGGGCTGTGTCATCGCGCCGACCCTTTTTGGGATTTTTTTTTTTTTTTGGCTGTCATGCTGAAGCACACGTTTGAAATCGCAACAGAAAGTGTCTATCTCTGGACTAGATCAAATGGAAAGCTTTTTAATCTCTCTAGATTGAGAGCAAGGACCAAAGTCCAGCTGAAAGGCATGTGGGACTTCCTCTTCGCCGATGTTGCAGCCATTGTTGCCCACTCTGCTCAAGACCTCCAACAACACATTAATCGTTTTAGCAAAGCCTACCAAGACTTTGGATTAACAATCAGCCTGAAGAAAACACAAGTCATAGGCCAGGGCGTGGACTCACCTCCCTCTATTATCATCTTCACGCAAGAATTAGAGGTTCTTCATGACTTTGTTTACCTTGGCTCAACAATCTCTGACACTCTCTCCCTAGATGTTGAGCTGGATAAATGCATTGGCAAAGCAGCTACCATGTTCTCTAGACTCAAAAAGAGAGTATGGCTTAATAAGAAGCTGGTGGTATGTACCAAGATCCAGGTCCATAGAGCCAGTGTCCTGAGCACACTCCTGTACTGCAGTGAGTCCTCGACCCTTTGTGCATGGCAGGAGAAGAAGCTGAACACGTTCCATATGCGTTGTCTCCGACACATTTTTGGTATCACCTGGCAGGACAAAGTTCCAAATAAAGTAGTCCTAGAACAAGCTGGAATTTTTAGCATGTATATGTTACTGAAACAGTGATGACTATGTTGGCTTGGGCATGTCTTGAGAATGGCTGATGGTCAGATTCCAAAACATCTCTTGTATGGAGAATTAGTGCAGGGAAATTGCCCCAGAAGGAGACCACAGCTGCAATACAAGGATTTCCTCAAGTGGGATCTGAAGGACTTAGGAATGGACCTCAAAAGATGGGAAACCTTTCCATCTGAGCGTTCAGCCTGGAGGCAGGCGGTGCATCATGGCCTCTTCCAATTTGAAGAGACTCTTGTCCAGCAGGCCGAGGCCAAGAGGCAGTCCCGAAACCAGCAAAATCAGGGAGCTGGACAGAGGACAGATTGTATTTGTCTTCAGGGTGGAAGGAATTGTCACTCTGAAATTGGCCTTATCAGCTACACTAGATGCAGTTCCAAGTCCTCCATACAGAGCGCGTCGCCATGTTCTCTCAAGACTGAAGGATGCCTACTACTATGTAAAAAGATGTAGTATTAAATAATAGCTTTGTATAACTACAGTGTTTGGTAGTAATCCTAACAAAAATATTTCCGCTTTAAATTCTATTTCCTGTTTTGACATGTGGATTTTAGCCCAATAAGTTTTTGCTTTATCACAAGTCCACTATACATGGTAATAACGTCCTTCATGATTTTTACATTTCCAACACTTGTTTGACATGTTTGGGAACATTTTTGCAAGTCTAGCTGGTGACAAGTGCCATCTATAAAACATTTTATATAAATTTTCTTTATAGGAAATTGCTAATGTTAACTTATAATTTTTTGCCTAAAGTTGTTGCCATTTTTCTAATTCCATATTATAGCCAAAGTTTTTAGACCATTTTAACATTGTATCTTTAAATTCTTCATCTTGTGTATCCCATTGCAGTAAGCATACAATTTTTGAATTTGTTTTTCTTTGATAGCAAGTAATATTTTGTCAAATGTTGTATATTCTTTATAAAAACCTTTCACCTTCTTATCTTAATTATAAATTGATTGTATTTGCATTTGAGGCCACCATGAAAAGACTAGTCCTTGGTTCTTGTGAGTGGGTTCTTGATAAGCCTTAGGCAGCTCCGAATTTGGCATGGGAATTGAAATGTCTGACTCATTTAAACCATTAACAGATTTATTCAAATTCAGCACAGGTGGGATAAACTTGATTCCAATCGTATAACTGTCCTTCAAACCTCATAGAATTATTTTAATAAACATCTCTTCTTAATACTGGCGAGCTGGGCCAAATCACTCCTTGTCCATTGGGTTCCTCATTGGGGTGCTCCTCACCGCGCAAATCATGCCACAGCATGGGTGGCGAGCCCAGTCCCCCTCCGGCGGTGGTTTGTTGTAGATGGGATCTGGGTGCACCACCCTCCTCCAACAACCTCATCCCCTCGGAAAGACCACCACTGTCCATTCTGAAGTTTCAGTGATGGTCACTGTAGCGGACTGCAAAAAGGTGACATCATTCCTGCCTGTCAGTCCTGGTAGTGTAACTAACCAAGTTTTAAAATAATTTCTAAAAGGCAAAGCCCAGCGATTATTAACAGAAGTCCCTCACTCTGGACTGTGGCTTTTTAAAAAAGTGCCATAAGCAGCTATTCCAGCCTGGTGGCTTCCTCAAGAGACCTTCCCCAATGCCACAGTGACCAGAATATACAAGGATGTTAGCCTTAGAGAAACATGGGGTATTCAGGAGCTGGTCTTGACTGAGGATCTGTCTTTCAAGAGAGAGGCCCCTCCATGACAGAATCAGAAAGAAAGGGGAGAGCACACATTCAGCCATCTTTGGAACCGACAAGAGAGAATGGCAGCTAGCCTGAAACAGAGAAAGCATTAGATTCAGTGTAAGCGGCTGTTTGTCAATACACCCAGTTGTTCTATCTTCTGAATGATAGCCAGTCATTGAAATCTACTAATAGGTTGCAACTAGAGGAGGCCCATTGGGTCAATTCAATGGTTCTAGTCTGGTTGTGCCTTACAACTGGATTTCAGCCCATTTATGTCGAACAATATCCTATGGTCTTGCACTTTTTAGGTAATTTTTTGGCTTAAACTCTCATCAGCCTTACCTTAACAAGGTGAACTATGAGGAATAATAAGAGCTGAAATTCAGAACTTCCCCAAGCTACTATGCGGAGAAAGGCTGATTCAGGAATTATTGTGAGTTGGCTATCAGCTCCCTGTAGTATATATTGGGTATGTTAATTATTGTTTTTCTATCTGTAAACCCTGTTTTTAAAAGCACAAAAAATAAGCATCATTTTGAATATTGGGTGAATTGTGTAATATAGTTTTAGGGAAATTGTAGAGTCAAAGCTTGGAATGTTACTTTCAATAATTAACTACCAGTTAGAGTAGCAGGCTCTAAAGTAGTTAGTTACCATTATGGTTATCCTTCTGTTTTATACATTCACTTTTATTTTCTCAAAGGAAATTAAAACAGCTGGTTCTGCTTACTTAAAAAACAAACAAACCAGGAGGCTACAGGCTGCTGTACTGTGGTGTAGAAAATACTTCCTTCTCATCTACCTTGTTACAACCTCAACATTCACAGCACAGCATAAATCATAGCACTTAAACCACCTCTGTCTACCATCTAGTGGGGCCACTAATTCCCATAAAAGTAATTCAAAATGGCAGGAAGATGTGAAAAGAATAAAGTTATCCATAGTTATCATGGCAGTGTAGTGCAGTTATACCTTAGCTAACTGTTTGTGACTACTTACACCCAGGCTCTGCACACCCCTCCGTCAGGACCTGCTGGCTAGGCTAGATGATGAAAGATCAAAGCTGCTTCTGGCCAAGTCAGAGGAATATGGCAAACAGAATTTGCAGTGAAACTATGTAAGAAGACATGGGAGTAATGAGCTAAGTTTTTAATATGTTTTCAGTATTGCCATGTCCTACCTTTCTTGTCATACGTATCTTTTTAGACAGCAAATACATCACATGGGCATACAATGTTTGCAGTTAGCAAATATTGTTACTCAAAACAAAGGCCAAAATAATTCATATTGTGTAGAAAGAGAAATAGTGAAGAAAGATGGGGGAGGAGGGGGAAAAAATAATTTCATTTGGAATGTGTTGCTGGAAGCAAGCCTTTCAGATACCAAAGACAATCAATAAAGCAGAAAAGTGGGTGCTCAGTCAACTCAAGTCTGAACTCCCACTACAGCAAAAATGAGTAAACTGAGGTTATCCTAACTTGCACATGTAATGATAATACAGAACTGATTGGAAAAGAAAATACTGCTGGGAAGTAGTGAGAGAGGCAGTAAGAGAAATGGAAGACTTAGCATGAGATGGGTTGACTCAGTAAGAGATTCCAGAAATGTTATTTTTCAAGACCTGAGCAAAAATTACTCAAAAGACAATATTGTTAGGAAAAGAGAACAACTTAATCTGAGATTTTGGTTTGCAAGATCTGAGCAGAGCTGTTAATGATAGGGTACTTGAGAGGCCATTACCTCATACATTCGCCAAACATCAGAAATGACTTGATGGCACAGAGCATCTTTGTTTTGTTTTAATTAGCAACTAATTGTATAGTGACAAGATGGGTGGAATGGCCACTTTGATGGGAGACTGTGATAAGGTAAAGGCACCAAAACTCACAAAGCATCCCCAGCTATAAAGTAAAAAAAAGGTGTAATTTCACAGCTTAAATGAATGAGCTGTTAAATATTTGTTTTGTATTCTTTTGTGTGTGTGTTTGTGTATATGTGACCTGCATGTATATATATTTTCTATATATATATTTAAATTTTAATATTCTTTTTGTGTCTCCATTATTAGAACCAGACACAGAATCCCTCTGCATGCATGATTCTAATAAGCCTATTTGGCCAGGAAGGAGTTAAACATTTAGCTAAGTGTCAACTAATTGGGTAATGATTGACAGGTTCAAAAGTTCAGATTCAGGAGACTGGACTCAGAAATCCTGAGATAATGTTTATTGAAAGTGCTAGAACTGCTGGAACTAGCTCAGTGGTTTAGGCATCAGAGGTTGAGAATTCAGTTCCCCATGGTCTCCTTTACAGTGGCTGGACTTAATAATCCATAGGGTCCCTTTCAGCTCTGCAATTCCAAGATTAATATTATTAAAACACAACTGCTATGTGTTTTACTAAGGTAAGGGGAAATATTTTGAATACGCCTTACAGAATTGTTTGCTAAATCACTGAAGATATATAGTGAATTGTCCACCCTACAGGAGGACTGTCACTGCATTGCTTTTTTTTAAAGAAAACCCCTTTTTTCACTCTTTAACATAATCCTGTCTTCTCACTCTGTTTCTTTGACCTTTCTCTCCAAATATCTCCCTCTCCCTAAATGTATATAGTGTTTCCTTTGACAAAGCCCCTGCTAGTGAGCTGGTACCACACATTCTCAATCTTATTACAAATTGGCTGTTTTCTCCTTTTGAAAGGCCTTTTTTGAGGATCAGTATTTCAGCCCCTGCAGCCTGGTTTCTTTCCAAAGAGGGGGGAAGCAGGTGGGCCAACCCTTCTCTTTCAAGCGAAGTAAGATTGGTATTTTCAGTTTGTATAATCTATTTTAAATCTGGGGACATTTAAGATCACCTACCTCTGAATGGGGAGTAGTTTTACTTTTTAAAAATTGTAACTCATAAACCCTTT